TAATGAAAGAATAAAAATTGAAAACACAAAACAGAGAAATGCTGAAAGGTCAGTGTGGTAACACTTGACAGCCTATAATACCAGCACTTGAGAAGAGGCAAAAAGATTTTTTTTTTTTTTTGGTTTTTCGAGACAGGGTTTCTCTGTGTAGCTTTGCGCCGTTCCTGGATCTCGCGCTGTAGACCAGGCTGGCCTCGAACTCACAGAGATCCGCCTGCCTCTGCCTCCCGAGTGCTGGGATTAAAAGCGTGCGCCACCACCGCCCGGCGAGGCAAAAAGATTTTGTGTTTGAGGTCAATCTGGGCTGCAGTGTAAGGCTAGCCTGGACTACGTTACTGAGTTCAAGTCAGCATGGGAAACATGAGACCCTGTATCAAAAACCAACTAAACAAACCAACAAAAATACTTCAGATACAACTGCCTAGAAGTACCAAAGACCAAGCAATATAGCAATATAACGGACTGAGAAGAGGAAAACAAGGAGCAAGAGCAGACAATGAGATAAAATAAGAACACTTACTATCTGGGAAGCTAAGAGAAGAAAGTGTACCCAGGAAGGGAAGGGTGTGTGTGGTCTCCTCCAGTAATACTCAGAGACACACAGCTACAGATCCAGTGTGGACAAGGTGGAATTAACAAGAATCCTGGTTTTGCCTTGATGAAGTGAGAAACCCTCCATGGAAGAAAAACACCACCACCTGTAATGTTTAGGCATGGAGTTTTAGGTGAGGAGAGAAGTCATCAAGGAGATGCAACAGGCTGAAGTTCCGGTGTACCTGGAGGATTGCTGGGGTCACAGGCCTAGAGAATAGAGTGGGCTGTAGATGTGCTGTTAGTGCTAAACACTTCACTAGCTGTGTGAGGAGGCCCCAGTTTTGATCTTCAGTGTTGGAAACGCGGCGGGGTCGGGGAGCACACAGGACCCACACTGGTGGTAACACTAAGCTGATGGCAGGGCTGCAGTTATGTATAATGAGCACAGGGGAAGAAAGGGGAGGAAGGGCGGGGGAACTGAGACTTGTGTAGCAGGACTCTTTCTAGAATCAAGACCCTTAATACAGGAGCTGGGGGAAGTCAGGGCTAGGAGATGGCTCAGTGGGTAGAGCACGTGCCACCAAGCCTGATGACCTGAGTTTGATAAGGGACCTACATGGTGGAAGAAGAGAACTGGCTCCTGAAAGTTGCCCTGTGACCTCCACATGTGCACCGTAGCATGTACACGTCCATGTACTCACTAAATAATTTTTTAAAAAAGAATGATATTGTGGAAAGTTAAATTAGAAGTGGCACTGAAGAATGGTCAGGAACTCAGTTTGTGGAGAACTCAAGAGTAATTTAGAGTCTCAACAGACGATGACACAAAGGGAAGTGGGTGATATAAACTGGTATCAGATTCCAAACTGTTGGTTTCTGGCAAAGAGAAAAGCAGAAGGGTCTGAAAGTGATGGCAGAGGACAAAATGGGCACGACCCTGTCTCTAGGTCCAGTGGGGCGAGGATGACAGAAGAAAACAGGAGAGACCAAAGGGAAGTCGAGTGCTAACACACAATGCTGTGCTGGGAACAGACCATCAATTCTAGAGAATACAAAGAAATACTTTGGAGAACTTAGTTGGAAGACAGAATAAAAAATACACAGACTCTCAAGAGATTGAAATACGGGAGCTGGAGAAGGATCCTCGGAGACTGTGGAGCTTCCTGTGGCCATAAAAACTTGGCATGATATCGTTCTATAGAGCCTCAGTATGTCAAGGTATGAGAAAGGATACTCACATTTTACACCTCTGGCGAGAGAGGTAACAACACAAAATACATGTAGCACATTATCGTGTAAGCCAGATCCCTTAAAACCCAGCAAATGGGTAGATTATGATTTTAGAGCACAAAGAACTTCTCAAATGCTTTGTGCTAACAGTCCTACCCTCCTCAAAATCCATGACAAGCTAGTAAGGAAAGGAAAACAACCCCACTGTGAACAGTACCTCTAGTTCTAATACACATTTAGAAACAGACAGAACAGATATCTTTCTGCCAAGAGACTCATTGACCAGCGGAAGTAGGTTGAGCTCTTACAATCTTGTTTCTAGAAGTTGAAGTGGCAGACACGGTGAAATTCCCTAACATTAGCTGGGCATAGTGTTGCACACCTGTAATCCCAGCACTCAGTACACAGAGGCAAAACTTCCCTGTGAGTTCCAGGCTAGCCAGTGCTAAGACCCTGTCTCAAAAAACATCAACAGCAAAAGATTTGTGAATACTAATAAAGGTACAATTGGGTGAGTGCCACCTAGTGGACAGAAGAAAGTCACAGGGAAATAACAAATACCCTCTGTTCTTGCTGGGGAAGGGATTATTGACCCCTCCCAGGGTTCCTCCTGAAACCCAAAGTCTGAAATAAAGTTAGGCAGGAGCAGCAGAAGGCCAGCTACCTGCTGCCACCCATGCTCTGACTCCTGTATCAACAGCAACAAGCTGTGGAATAAAGCTGGATTTGGTCTAAAGCTAACTAGAATATTCCTTTTTTTTTTTCCTTTCCTTTCCTTTTTTTTGAGACAGGGTTTCCCTGTGTAGTTTTGGTGCCTGTCCTGGACCTCGCTCTGTAAACCAAGCTGGCCTCAAACTCACAGAGATCCACCTGGCTCTGCCTCCCAAGTGCTGGGATTAAAGCCATTTGCCACCACTGCCCGGCACTCCTTCTTTTAATAAAGAAGAAAATAAAAAATTTAACTACTGGGTATGTTCCCAAGGAGTTAAAAGGCGGGATCAACTGAGTCTGTGATAAAAGACTCCTTGCTAATCACAACAAAATGAGGTGAGAATGCAGAAGGATGGCACCTACCAAATCTGAATTCCATACATTCCCAGCAATGAATGAATCATGTCAATTCCTCATTTAGAGGAAGAAAAGAGCTCAGAAACAAGAAAGTAAATCCGAAAGAGAACCAGACACGTCCACTTTAGAATCAGTTTCCGTCTCTTAGTAAGAGATGCACACATTCTTCTTCTCTCCTCTCCCCTTCCCTTTCTTTGTGCTACAAGGGATGGAGCCCAGGGCAAGTGCTCCAGCACTTAGATGCCCCTGCCCTTTCTCAAGTGCCTACTAGATTTGAACTGCAATTCTCCTGCTTCAGTCTGAGAAACTGAGATTATAGGTGCATGCCAAAGGCTCAGCAGAAACACACATTTTTTGAACTTTAATAAAGCAGCAGGTGGAGGCATCTTTGACTACAGGAAGCAGGTGTGTAAAGTAGATTTTTTTTCTTCATTGCCTATTCTTATAGGATACCTATCTTAGAGCTGAAAGGTATAAAAGAATTTTTAAGTATCAGTACAACATATAGGGAATACAGACACATTTACCAAACAGCAGAGAGAAAGTCAGGTTTAGGGTGTAAGGAAGTAATATAAAGAAAATCTAATGCCCACCAACTTCCTTATCAATACTGGCCAGCTACTGTGCTGAACACCTCAGCAGGGCCTCTACTATAATTGGTAAGCACGGCTTATTTCTCTACCTGGACGAGTTTTGCTGGAGTTGAATACATTACAATCAGAACACAACTCTTCTCTAACCCTACACACGCAGCAACTCATCAGCTTTCCCTAATCTAGTGTTTCTGCCTGCACTCACAAGACATCACTGCCAACCAAAGATTACCCTAAAGCAGCTGCAGTCCTGTGAGTATCTAAGCTTTCCAAGGTTCCCAGGAAAAGCAGACTTCTGGGAAGCGAAGATCTACAACAAAACTTCAAAGTCAGTTTGAACTTCCTATGTGGTTTAGAATGCTTTCTAACCCATTATCTCCCCGTCACCTGTGAGGCAGGAATTCATAGCACAATAATGAGTATTCATCTCCTTCACTTGCACTATCAGTATTAAGACTGAGATTTGGAAACTAGCACTTGTTTCAGTGTTGAAACTAAAATTGGGGGCTAGAAATGTAGCTCAGTGGAGAGTACTTTGCATAAAACCCTGGGTTCAATTTCCAGCACCATAAAATCCCTCTAACACAGCACATTGAACTGGTTCAATATTCAGTCTGGTTCTCAAAACTACTTCTGAAAGGATTAAGGACCATGGTCTTTTACTGATGTCCTTGTGCAGTTTACATCACTGGAAACAAAGTAAACACAGTGTTGTATTGTAGAGATCTGGGTCCTCCTTACATCTCAATTTTGAAGAGCTCAAACCCTTTCCTGATAAAAATCTAAAGTTCTAAAATAAAAGCAAGCACAATGAAGGCTTAAAAAAAGAAAAAAAAATTTATTAGAAACCATGGGCTAGAAGTCACAGCACTTGGGCCTGGTAATATAACCCCAGGAAAGCCCTCTAACTGGTCAGTCTGTACTTGCTATGGCAGAGAACAAACACAATCCACTGTTTCATAAGGTTTCACTGTGGGCCAACAAGGAACTCGTATATGAAGCCTCCACTTGAACCAACCTATTTTGTCAGCACTACCACTGTGGGTCTCTGAGGACTCGGTGGGGAGAGAAGGGAAACCAGCAAATTTCCATCTTCTAAAGAGAAATTCCTTTACATTCATTTAATCCTTTTCTCTAATACTCAACAACCCAACTAAAAGGCTCTTTTGCATTCTTACCTTTGGAAGCTGCAGAAACCAAGGGCCAGGAGGAAAAAGCATCAGATATTGGAAAGAAACAGAACAGGAATTACACATGGATCTTGGTCATTGTAGACAGTTGTAGCTCAGTCACCCAACCTGTCCAAGGCACTGGCTGACCCCACTAATTAAATACTCTGGTCTGGAGACAACGCTTTAAGACAGAACCATAATCCATTCAAGCTAACTATCAATGGGCCTAAGCTGAGCTTTTGGTACCATGTAGCCCTGTTAGTAAACTGACACAAAATACTTACAAGCAGCAGTTCTCTCTCCCAGCCCCAGGAGCCCCATAATACAAAAACATTCTCTTTTCCCTGGAATGGAAACCTCAATCTTCCCAACCCCCTTCTACCCTCGCCAGGGAAGGGAAAAGCTCAGGGAGAGCACTCACTCTTGGTCTGGGCAGAGAAGGCAAGGGTAAGTTTGGCAAAAAGTTCGTTGTTCTCAAAGCGGTCCTCCTTCACCTTTGTCCAGAAGCAGTCCTGGGAAAGGTCCTCGGCCACAAACTGTATAAACAGACAGGTGGTAAGAGCTACTGGGCTGAACGCTGAACTCGCTGTGCTAGAAAATGACTCCAATTATCAGCAAGGTTGACTAGCCTGTGACTAACTTAGTACACAGACAGTAGCTGTGCCCTTCATGGGGATCAGGGGATAATGCTTCTGGTCTGTTTGCTGCTAACTAGTCAAGAATCAAAATCAGTTATGCTGATCTTCCTCCTAATACCAAATCTTCTAGTTCCACGAGCATTACAGTCTTATTTCCAATGTTCCTTGTTCTATGTTTCTCCCAATCTGGCTATGTTTAACTTAGTTTCTAGAAGCAAAAGACTGACTCAACCACGGGGGTCACAAACACACTGTGGGCTGTACAAGCATAATTTCAGTCATTTGCCCCCCAGCGAAGTGAGAGCTGTCATGCTACCCTAGCACTCATTTTATCAGAGAAAAGGCCAATGTATTAAGACAGGTTAAATTTAATTAAGATGTATTCAATAGGGCCCAGAGATCTTTCTGTGTAAGTTCTGAAACAGAGATGCTGCATAGGCATAAACACAAGCAGACCTTGAAGAAGGACAGATATGAGCCCTAACAGTGGGTAGCCTACCCATGCATAAAAATCAGTCAAGAAAAGTAGTTTAAGATCTAATGTTGGGAAAAAACTTACCTTGGACCAGTTTGGCCTCCGGAGCTGCACCTCTGGCTTATAAACTTTTTTAGGGGTTAATCCAAATGGCAGAACTGGGGCTGCAGGAACCCCAAATCCAAAGGGGGGAGGTGGAGGCACGCCCATTCCAGGTGGAGGTGGAGGAATGCCAGGGCCTCCAGGAAAGGGGGGAGGGGGAGGAGGCAGTCCAGGTCCTCCAGGCAAGGGAGGGGGTGGGGGGGAACGCCAACACTTCCAGGCAAGGGAGGGGGAGCTGGTATACCAGCACCTCCAGGCAAAGGAGGAGGTGGGGGGATGGCAGCCCCAGGCAAGGGAGGGGGAGGGGGTACAGCAGCACCCCCAGGCAAAGGAGGAGGTGGGGGGATTGCAGCCCCAGGCAAAGGAGGGGGAGGGGGTACAGCAGCACCTCCAGGCAAAGGAGGGGGAGGGGGTACAGCAGCACCTCCAGGCAAAGGAGGAGGTGGAGGGATGCTAGTACCTTCAAGCGGAAGAGGGGGAGGGGGTGGAACAAGACCCCCAGGAAGAGGAGGTGGGGGTGGGGGAGGGGGAGGGGGAATAACAGTGCCATGGCCACCGGGCAGAGGAGGGGCAGGGGGAACAGTAGCACTGCTAGAAACAGGAGGAGCAACAACCACAGCAGAGAGAGAAGCCACTTCCTTCTTGGCATCTTCTAGTTCTTTTGACAGCTTGGCAACCTACAGAAGCAACACAGAATAAGTACTTCTCACCCCACTTCAAGGACTACTGGAGCTGGAAAGGACTAAGAAACCACTAAATCCAAATTTCTGAGTGGTCAGATCACATGATTCTTCTCAAAGTCACACCGTACTTAGTAGTAGAGTAAAACCAGAACTCAAGTCTTTACGTTCTTAGTGTGTCTTGAGTTTACTCGACTACAAAACTCAAGTATGGGCAATGCAGTGAATCCCCAACTGTACAAATGATCAAGTTAGCATACTGCAGGCTGTCTAAGCATTTGTAACTGCAGAGAAAAGGAAGGTGTCACAGAAGCACAGACTAAGTTGGATGGGCAAATAAGCCAATAGTTTAATGTCTACTCCCAAATCATTCATTATTTCTGGATTCTGCCATAAGTAACTTTTATCATTCTTTACATTTTTCTGTATTTTCTAAATGCTTTGTCTTATATACTATACTCCCAAAGCAAGAGTAAAGCCAGTAACTGACTGTGAAACACGCGCCAGCGACCTGATGATTCAGCTGCTCTTCCCTAGCATAGGGGAAGCTAAGCAGCCTATGACCGTGTGGTCCCATGACCAGCACGGCCAAGCTATGGAGGGCAGCTGCGGGCACACTACCACTCTGCTCAGTCATTACCTCTCCTGTCAGCTTGGACACCTCTGCTTCCAGATCTTGTTTTTCTGTTGCAATCTGCTGCTTTTCAGAATCCAGTGCATCCTTTTCTCCTTGAAGATCCTGAAGTTTCTGCTCAAAGTCATTTTCCATCTTTTTCATTTCTACTTGTAACTCATGCCGGGCTGTCAACTCTGAGTCCAACTAAAGAAGGAAAAAAAAAAAAAATCAGACTCCCAGTCATCTTTCTGCCATAGCTTCAGCTGTCAACACCAGACGAACCTACAGTCGAGGGGAGAGGGAACCTCAACTGAAGAACTGCCCAGATCAGACGGGCCTGTAGTCATGTCTGTGTAGCATCTTCCTAACCCTAACTGATGCAGGACGGGTCAGTCCACTGTGGGCTGTGCCATCCCTAGGCAGGGAGACCTGGGATGTGTAAGAAAGGTAGCTGATCAAGTCAACGGTAAGAGGCCAGTAAGCAGCATCCCTCTAGTTTCTGCTTCACGCTCCAGCCTGAGCTTCCCTTGATGACAGGCTATCAAGTGAAGAGGAAATAAACCCTTTCCTCTCATGTTACTTCAGGTCATGGTGCTGGTCACAGCAACAGAAAGCAAACTAGGATGCTGCTCGTCCCAGTGAGGAGCATAGGGGCACTATGTAATTCCCTGTTCTGTCTCAACACTACTCTATAGAGCTTCCTGACCATCTAGGCAATGCTTTGAAAAGAGACCAGAGCATCAAAGTTAACGGGGAGGAGACAAGAGATCGTGTCCATATTCTTCCTACTTTTATAGCTAGAAACCAAGTCAGCTAATCTGAGATTTGAAAGACCTTTAACCATGTCCTGGTTAGTTTTATGTCAACTTGACACAAGCTGGAGTCATCAGAGAGGAGGGAGCCTCAACTGAGAAAACGCCCCTAAAGCCAGGCAGTGGTGGGGCAGTCCTCAGGAGGCAGAGGAAGGCGGAGTTCGAGGACAATCTGGTCCAAAGAGCGAGTTCCAGGACAGCCAAGACTACAGAGAGAAACCCTGTCTCAAAAGAAAAAAAAAAAAAGAAAGAAAAAAGAAGAGAGGGAGAGAGGGAGAGAGAGAGGGAGGAAGGGAGGGAGGGAGGGAGGAGGGAGGAAATGCCCCTGTAAAATTGGGCTGTAGGCAAGCCTGTGGGGCATTTTCTTAATTAGTGATTGATGTGGGAGGGCTCAGCCCACTGTGGGCAAGACCACCTCTATAGGCTGGTGTTTCTGGCTTCTTTAAGAAAGCAGGCTGGGAGTTGAGGATTTAGCTCAGTGGTAGAGCTCTTGCCTAGCAAGCACAAGGCCCTGGGTTCGGTCCTCAGCTTCAAAAAAAAAGAAAAAAAAAAAGCAGGTGGAACAAGTAGCAACCCTCCATGGCCTCTGCATCAGCTCCTGCCTCCAGGTTCCTGCCCTGCATGAGCTCCTGCCCTCAGTGCTTTTGATGATGAATTGTTTGTTCTATGGAACTGTGAGTGAAATAAACCCTTTCCTCCCCAAGTTCCTTTTGGTCATGGTGTTTCAACACACCAAGAGTAACCTAACCCTACGACAAGCCAGGACAGCTGCCTTGCACAATTCCAGCCACAGCAGGAATCCTTAATTACTACAGAGATAAAAGGAATTGAGACATATTCCAGTTCCTACTGTCCTGGAGTAAGACTTAAGATGCACACTTACACAGAGCATCTGTCTTTGCTGGATTGCCTGGTGCCCAAGAACGTTGCAAAACACCTCTAGTTTCTCATTTCACATCAATACCCTCTTTCTCACTAACAAAAAGATTTCCCCCTAGGAACCTTTAGATTCTGAATGCTTTCAAAATATTAGACAATACTGTCTCAGGTGTCAAAAAACAATTATCTTCAAAGAAAAATATATATCCCAAATTTACTTGTATATGTTTGTTTTACATATACACATATGTGTGGATGACACCAGAGACTGAACCTAGGCTTTCACACACAATGAGCAAGCACTCTAGCACTGATCCTCTCATACACACCTTTTTTTCCAGCTCTGTAGCTTTGGCCTCTGATTTTTCCACCTTTGTTTTATCAATCATTTGATCTGAAAAGAAAAAACAATTTGATCTGAAAACAACTCAGTAAGTAAAGTTCTCGGCTTCCTAACCTGCGCTTCTGCTCCTAAGCCTCCAATGCACAAGAGCAGTTGTCTGTCCCTCTTGTCTGCTGTTACTCTTCTTAATGCTCTACACTAGAACAAGAAATGCAAGTTTCAATGAAACACAACTTACACTTTCTTTTAAATTTTATTTATATAGTTGTTTGACTTTTTGTGTGTCTGTGAGTACATAGGCGTGTACATGCATGTGTTGAATACAGACCTGTGTATGCAACAGGTGTGGAAGTCAGATGACAACTCTCAACAGCAGTTCTCGCCACCATATGGAATCTGGGGCACAAACTCAGGTCTCAGGCTTGCATGCAAGCACCTCTACTTACTGCCACGTTGCTGGCCCTCAAGCTGTGATTTCTAAGTGCAAGGTAAGGCAGTCACATGAAGGATGCCTATGTGCGACACTTACGATTCTGAGACCAGCAGGGTCAGAAAACAGCTGAAGTCTCTACAAAAAGTAGTGCATGCCGGGCGGTGGTGGCGCACGCCTTTAATCCCAGCACTTGGGAGGCAGAGCCAGGCGGATCTCTGTGAGTTCAAGGCCAGCCTGGGCTACCAAGTGAGTTCCAGGAAAGGCGCAAAGCTACACAGAGAAACCCTGTCTCGAAAAACCAAAAAAAAAAAAAAAAAAAAGAATGGGTATGATGGGTATGATTTTCAATTCGTGCAGAATAAACTAAAGAGACCACATAATTCCAGCACAGAGGGCACACTGAGAAAGGACAAAAACAGGGACAAGAATGATGTCTTTGGAAATTTCACTGAAAGAAGGAAACAAGGCAGAAGCACTGAGTGTTCTGAGGAGCCGAGTAGGAAAGCGTGCTTACCAATCAATCCCTCAATATCAATCTGGAGGTGCCGGCACCTGAAGTCAGGATCAGTTCCATTCTTGTGTAGAACTATCTGAGAAATACATTCTTCAATCAATTTATAGTACTGTGGCCTATGAAAGGAACAAAACAGACTTATCAAAGGGAAATCAAACTGTAACTTCCATAAGTATTCTGGACCAAGAAAAGTTAACTGCTTTGACAATAAAAAGAATTAAGGATAAGTATTCTGAAAAGAGCCCTGGTGAAGCTGACAGAGCATCACTGCTGTGCTAGGACACAGTGTGTTATAGAGGAAAGTCTCCTCTTCTAGATCAGCTTTTATTCTTTCTACTTCAGATACTCAACAGCTCTCACAAGCTGGGGCTGTAGGTCAGCGGTAAAACATGTACTAAGCATGTGGAAAGCATAAATGCTGACATGCATGTATACACATAAAGATTCATTTTTTATTGTGTGTGTATCTGTGTTTATGTACATGTATGAAAGTGCCCATGGAGGTCACAAGTGTCAGATGGAATTACGGGTGGTTACAGGTGGTTTGGGAAGCTGATATGAGTGCTGGGAACTATTGGGTCCTTCACAAGAACAGTATGCATACTGAGCCATCCCCTCCATCCCCCAACATACTTTCTTAACACCTGCTTCCCAGTGCCAATACTTTCACATCTAAATGAAATCAGGCTTGATTCTTATGATCCTTCTTGTCATGCTACTGCTGCTCTCTACTTCCAGGCAACCAGAAAGAGTTTGAGGTTACCATCTCTCTCTACTGTCATCCTTACCCCACTCACCCACTCCCTTCTAAGAACATTTTACTTGACACAATGACCTATTCCAAAGAGGTGCCTCTCAACTGAATTAAAGCAGTTGATGTCGCTCAAACAGTTGATAACTTCCTTTAGATCTGTGACTAATGAACCTAACCCACCATCTTTTTCATTTCTTTTTAAACTTTCTAGAACAATATTTGAAGTTAAGGATGCTGCTTTTCCACTTAGACTCAAAATCCCCCACAGGTATATCAGCTTACCTAGCCTCATAATCATTTCGGACCAATAGGAGATGCTGCAGGATGGACAGGAAATGTGGCTCTGCCTTTGAATCTTTCACTGTGTTTAAAAGAATCTGGAAAACTTCACCGAAGTCAGTAGAAAGAGCAGGCTAAGGAAATCAAATATTTAGAAGCTGTTTGGGGGGTGGGGGGCTTGCTCAAGGAAAAGATGCCACTTCCACTCCAACAGGCGTTCCTAAAGCATCACTGTTCCCTTAACCAAGAACAGTGCTGCTGTCCGTCAACAGAGGATTCCTAGTGCTCAGCTTGACAATCTACGGCAGAAACTAAAACCAGAACCACCTCAAAGTTACCTGTGGCAGGTAATCAAATACACAATAGCAAGAGTGCTTGTCAGTTCAGAATTCTACAGAGCACCCATCTCACTAAGTTATCGTGTTCTAGGAAACATACAGATCCAGATGGATGCTTTAGGATGTGAGGGCAATCTGGATGTAACATCTATTACTTTATCCCTTCACTGACTGCCAGACTGATGGATACTTTTATGTTAAAAAGATCACCTTTACTGGCTTTCCTGGTCTATGCAAGACAGCAATATGAAGACAACAGTTATATTTATTAAAAATAGCCGGGCGGTGGTGGCGCCTGCCTTTAATCCCAGCACTTGGGAGGCAGAGGCAGGTGGATCTCTGTGAGTTCGAGGCCAGCCTGGGTTACAGAGTTCCAGGAAAGGCGCAAAGCTACACAGAGAAACCCTGTCTCGAAAAAACAAAAAAAATAAAAAATAAAAAAAAATATATATATATATATATATTTTTGAGACAGGGTCTCTCTGGGTGGCCCTAGCTGGCCTGGAGCTCAGTATGCAGAGCAGGCTGGTCTCAAACTCAAGATATCCTCCTAAGTGCTAGGAGACAAATGCAAGGCATGTGCCACCACAGCCAGCCTTATACCCTCTTCTAAGTCATCACTTTCCACACTGCTCCATTATCCAGTCACCAGTCATAAAAGGATATTCCATCTCCATGCGGATGTCTTCCAGCCGTCCCTTCAGATCAAAGAAATCTTCCTCCCCTTGTTCATCGAACACAGCTAGCTGTACTCTCATATCATCGTTGTCAATCTCCCGAAGCTCCTGGCAACGATAGGAGAAGTCAGGAGACCCAAAAATTTCCTATGTGCCTAGAAATCCAAACCTTCCAATCTGGTGTTTAAGTGGAAAACCAGAATCACCTCAAGGACAATAGGGACTGTGCAAGCAGGAAGGAACAATCCAGCCTTTCTAATGAAATGTTGTATCTTACCTGCAACACCTGATGCAGCCCCAAGCGCATCAGTTCACTTCGAATGTGAACTCGGAAGTCAAGTTCTTCTGCGGGAGTGATGAGAGCATTGATCAGCTGTAGGCAGCCCACCTGAAACAAGCAAATCCAGCTGCTACGTCAGCATTAAGCCTTATGGATAAGGATTCCACTATTTATACACATTCTGGAGCTCCATAAAAGATACAGAATAAAAACTATAGGAAAGACTTTTTACTAGAGCAACAAAACATTGTTGAGCACAAGTCTGGAATACTTAGTGTTTTAATGAATCCAAGGATCTAATATAACACATTACTATAAAACCTTGACTTTTTTTTTTTTTTTTTTTTTTTGGTTTTTCGAGACAGGGTTTCTCTGTGTAGCTTTGCGCCTTTCCTGGAACTCACTTGGTAGTCCAGGCTGGCCTCGAACTCACAGAGATCCGCCTGGCTCTGCCTCCCGAGTGCTGGGATTAAAGGCGTGCGCCACCACCGCCCGGCAAACCTTGACTTTTTTAATGTACTAATAAATAACTGGTTTATTCCCCCAATGTCACAAGGAGGAAAGTAATTCTTTAAAAATCATTTTCTTCAGAGAAGGAAAAAAAAAAAAAAAAAAAACCACTATCCAAAGGTGTCAGATAGCCCTGGAGCTGGAGTTAAAAACAGTTGTGAACTGTCTGACAAGGAGGCTGGGAACTGAACTTGGTCTTCTGGAAGAGCAGTATATGCTCTGAACTGATGAGCCGTCTCTCCAGCCCCCACATAGTCTATAAAAGGCCAAACGACACTAGACCTGGTGGTATAGACCCATGCTTCAGGAGGCAGGAAGATCACCAATGCTTGCCTGGTCAATTACCACAAGTGTAACTCCAGGACTTGGGAGGCAAGAGGATCAGTAGTCTAGCCTAGACTATATAATGAGTTTGAGGCCAGTCCAGACTGCAACATGAAATAAAAATATCTCAAAATTAAAAATTAAAAAGGGCCCCCCAGCTCCTTGTTCAGTGGTAGTTCCGTAGTAGGGAACTGATCCAGAATAAGCAAAGCCCTAGGTTCAATTTCCCATACCACAGAAAAATGAAGGACAAATGAACTCTGGTCTTTCCATTTTGAATTATTCTATTCTATTCTATTGTTGGCCCAGTTTTAAGGGTGCATATACATACTTTGAGTGCAATGGGGGTCCCACTTTTTAATCCATCCAGCAGTGGCTGGAAGCGTTCCACCTCATCCATTTCAGCTCTCTCTGTCATTGCCTCCAAAACTCGTTCATTCCTGTCCAAGATGAAAGAAAGCGAATTGCCTGGGTGCACTGGCAGACATGGATGGATTTGACAGGGAACAAACCAATTAGGAAACAGGCCATTAGCAATGCCTCAGGTTTCTGAAATTATTCTCTTAACCCCCACAGACACGACAATCTGATAAAAGCAATGGACTATCTTTTGAGAAAATAATTTCCTAAAACCCTTCCTAGACTCCTACCCATGAATACAAAATTAAGACTTCGGAGCTATGAAATATAAATTACTCTGACTTTTTAAGGATTATTTAATATTAAGAGTACTAATCAATTTCCAATGCACAGTACATGTGGTCCATTTCTAGAAATCTATCTAACACAAAAGGATAAATGTAATAGAAACTATGTATAAAGACGTTTGTTATGGCATCATTAGTAATGGTAAAAAAATTCTTATCATCTACAGCAAGGTCAGAATCTGCATAAGTATACCTAAAGTCTAGAAATAGAAGAAATATTAAAAAAATGAGACAGAAGGCAGCATCAGTTTGTAGTATTTGATGTGCGTGTGCGCGTGCGTGCGTGCGTGCGTGCGTGCGTGTGTGTGTGTGTGTGTAAAATGTTATATGGCCACTAAAAATAATAAGGTAACTCTATTAAGTACCAATGAAGAATGATATCCCAAATCTACTGCTAAATAAAAATAACCAAGCTGAAGCTGAATACGGTGGCACACATGTGTAACTCCAGAACTTGAGAGGCTGAGACGAGAGGATCAGACATGTCCAGCCTGGACTATATGAGTTTGTAGCCAGTCCAGACTACAAAACAATTCTGCCTTAAAAAATCTAAAGGGGGCGGGGAGCTGAAAAAAAAAAGGGGGGGGTATGATTTTTACTTTTGTTAAACCAACACTTCCAAGAAAACAAAAATCTGTTGTATACTTGTAATGGTTTATGGGCATGAACTATCATTTCTCAGCTCTAAGACTGCAAGATTTCTTAAGAATCAAGGAAACAGAATGTTTATGGTTAAAGAAAAAAGCCCATGAATTCTATCTAAGCCATTAGCAATGGTTCTTTTCAGCGCAGGATTTGGGGAAGGAATGGGCTGTTAAAATTTTACTTCATGTACTTTTAATATGGTTGGATTATTAAAATAATAGGCTGCTTCTAAAATTAAATATACACATGACAATAAAAAAAGGAAACATCGCTGGGCGGTGGTGGCGCACACCTTTAATCTCAGCACTCGGGAGGCAGAGGCAGGCGGATCTCTGTGAGTTTGAGGCCAGCCTGGGCTACAAAGCGAGTTCCAGGAAAGGCGCAAAGCTACACAGAGAAACTGTCTCAAAAAACAAAACAAAAAAAGAAACCTCTGTTCCAGGTAAAAACAGATATTAATGGAGATGCAGCAGGTAGGCTGTGCTGGCTGGTTTTTATGTCAACTTGACATAAGCTAAAGTCATCTGAGAGGAGGGAACTTCAATTGAGAAAATGCTTCCATAAGATGGGCTGTAGGCAAGCCTATTAGGCATTTTCCTAATTAGCGATTGATATGGGAGGCCCAACCCATAGTAGGTAGGACCACTCCTGGGCTGGTGGTGCTGGGTTCTATAAGAAAGTAGGCTCAGCAAGCCAGTAAGCAGCACCCCTCCATGGCCTCTGCATCAGCTCCTGCCTCCAGGTTCCTGCCCTGTTTGAGTTCCTGCCTTGGCTTCCCTCAATGGACTGTAAGTTGGGATATGTAAGCCAAATAGCCCTTTCCTCTCCAACTTGCTTTTGGTCATGGTGTTTTATCACAGCAATAGAAACCCTATCTAAGACATAAGCCTGCTACACTTTTTCTTGTTTTACAATTTATTACTGTATGTGAGTGTTCTGCCTGTGTGCATGCCTGGTGCCCAGGTACGAGAAGAGGGCATTGGACTCCCTTGAACTGAAGCAACAGATAGTTGTGAGCCACCATGTGGGTGCTGGGAATAGAACCTGGGTCCTCTAGAAGAATAACCAGTGTTCTTAACCCCTGAGCCATCTCTCTGCCCCTTATTAGACTTCAGTGGACACATCAGTCATCAACATTTAGGAAGCTTAAATTTTTTAATTTGTGTGTGTGTGTGTGTGTGTGTGTGTGTGTGTGTGTGTGTGTGTGTGTGTGTGTGTACACGGACATGTGCATACACATGCATAGACTAGAGGACAACTTGTGGAAGTCACTTTTCCCATTTGCCATGGAGGTCCCTGAGACTGAACTCAGGTCATCACGCTCAGCAGCAGGTGCCTTTACCCTCTCAGCTATTTCACCAGCCTTTTCTTTTTTCAATTAAAAGATTACATTTGTATTTGTGTGCATGTGCGTGTGCGTGTGCGTGTGTGTGTGTGTGTGTGTTGTGACATGTGTCATGGTGTGTGCACGGAGGTCAGAGTTGCTGGGGTACATTCTCTTCTGCCATGGTAGGTCCTGAAGTGCCTTTACTCAGAGTTATCATGCCAGATACAATCTGTTCTTAAATCGGTGTAACTGTCCTTATTCAAAATGCCTTAAATCATGTCTTATAGTTCATTTAAAAAATACTTTGGAATATTTGCATACACAAAATGAGTTTATCTTCAGGATGATATTCAAGTCTAAACATGAAATTCATGTTTGAAATACCTTATAGCCTGAAGGTAATTTTATACAGTATTGCTAATAATACTGTACATATAACCAAGTTTCACAGTACGGAATTTTCTACATGGAGTATCATGATGGTATAAAAAAAGTTTCTGTTTGAAGCACCATGGATCTTCAGATACTCTACCTGCACTAAGATCCTAACATTCACTTCTGAGAAGAAATGTGGCCTTACTATTTAGCTTCTAAGACCAAGAGGACACCTAAATAACTCAGTTTTCCTCTAGGCTACAAGGAAACGGTAAAATGAGAACGCGGAAATAGCTCGAGTCACATACATGTCCTCTGGCTGTGGTAGGATACATAGAGCAGACAACAGCTTAGCTGCATCAATCATCATATTAGGAACAGCAGGATCCATGGCTCTGACCAGCAGTAGGATTCCTTCTTCTGTGTCCAACATGGTTTTGATTCCAAACTGGTAAGACAGGAACAGAGGAGGGAGGCTTAACAATAACACACATAAACAAGGGCCTGTGCAGGACTTTGATGAGTAGAGTGTTATCTCCTCAAATACATGGAAGAATGTTAACCCCCTAGAACCCTAGATTGTAGCCTCTTGGGACATAGTCACTGCAGATAAGATAAGCTAAATGACAATGAAGCCACGCTGGAGTAAGGCAGGGTCTTAATCCAGTATGCCCATCCCCTATATAAGAGAGAAATCCACATCCCAGACACACACATACAGAACATCACAAGAGGAAGCGGAAATGAGAATAATGCATCGATAAACCAGTGCCCATGAGCAACTAGAAAGCAGGAGAGAAACACGGAACACATTCTCCCTCCCAGCCTTAGAAAGAACCTGTCCTGCTGACATGGGATCTTGGACTTCCATCCTTCAAAACTGAGACAATGAATTTCTCAAAGTCACCTGCTTTGTGGACTCTAGAAACTAGCATAGGAGTAGAGAATATTTTCCCAATAATAGCTGAACAGAGATGACTACAACAAAGTAAATTTCCTAAGACATGCATTATGTCTTCATAGATTAAAAACTGATTTTTATCATCCTCCCCCTACCCTAAGGAGTAGGTTAATTACAGAAAAATTAAGTAGCAAAGAAAATAGATATCTACTCAAACAATAACTAAGGCTCCTAGAGTTTAAATACAAAATGAATGAGAAAAAAAAATCCTAAATTGGGAGTGGTGGTTTACACCTTTAATCCAAGCACTCAGGAGGTAGAGGTAGGGGGATCTCTGTGCATTTGAAGCTAGCCTCGTCTACAGAGTGAGTTCCAGTACAGCTAGGGCTGTATAGTGAAACCCTGTCTTTAAAAAAAAAAAAACCTAGAGTAGGAATGAATATTCTGGAAGAAATGGCACACTGGCACACACCTGTAACCCCAGCATTCGGGAGGTGGAAGCAGGACCAATACGAATTCAAACACACTTAAGGGAAACTCGGACTTGTTGAGATTGGGACAGATTTAATGTAGGAAATAGGGAAGGAAATAAAGTAAACATCCCAAACAATAACTACAGGTTCAATAACAAGATTAGTGAAAGAACATAGAGTACAAGAACACTTAGCCTACCCTTTGAAACAGAAGTCAGAACTAGGGAAAGAATTCCACAGAGGCTCATATACGTGGCAGTGAAGTAGTTACAGTATGGAAAGGAGAGACAAAGCCTTGAACCTCAGTTTCTTCCTCTGGCAGAGCTAACAAAGAGAACTAATGAAGATCTAGACAGGGGCTGGGGTCCCACTGGGAAAACCTCACCTTGTTGTTCATGAAAGCTTTCAAGCAGCGGATAACCTCATGCTGGTTCCGGCTGTCGTAGTTTCTGCACACAGAAAACATGATCAGCGAAGTCCCTTTATTTTATAATACACACTCTTTCCATATGATTGTTCAATCTTGCAAACAAGGACATTAAAAATGTCTTCAACTAGCCGCTCAGTAGAATCTAACAGTCAGTTATGAATGCTGCCCAGCATGTTCACAGATGACAGCATTATGCTGTGATGTCAAAAGGCAGTACAGCCCTACATCACAAAGCACTTGACCCAGAAACACTAACAAAGATAATCAACTGGCTAATACCCTTGCAATTTGAGAATTTAGTATTAAATTCTATTAGTATTAAATTAAATTAGTATTAAATTTAGTATTAAACCTGCCAATTTGGGGTTGGGCATAACTCAACAGTACAATACTTGCCTAGCAAGTGTAAGGCCCTAAGTTTGAATCCCAACACTATTAAAAAGTGTGTTAAGTGTGCAAACAAAACTCCATCCCTTAACTCCCTTTAGGCAGCTAGCTAGGTACTAAATTCTATCTATTACTCCTTGCCTAACACTTGAAAGGCTTCATATCTGAGAAAGCACACACAGACCCAATCCCTGTACTGTTTGTTTGTCTCAGAAAAGATTCCACAAGTATTGGGCACCTTGGATGGCAGCATAGCAGCCTAAAATGGTTTTTGATATTCAAGAATGTATGCCAATCCTGAAGACTGCTGTAACGCTAAACTAATAAAGTATACTCCAAGAAAGACCCCAAGTGTAATGTGGCCCAGACCAGATCACAGTACAGCTGAAGACGAAATCAGACCCTCTTTCCAGACCCAAAATTCCTTACCCAGAAGTCTCCTCTTTCTCATCATGGAGTCGTTTAAGAATGTCCAATAAGGAGGCTAGGCCTTCAGCACCAAATGTCTGCACCCAGCTGTAAGGAATAGATGAAAGGTAATACAGTATCAACTTAAATCAATAAAGGCTATTTGGCAAATCTATCCTAGAAACCCTTTACTCCCAATCCAGACCTTTCTCATACTTCTCTGCCTCCCTTGATTATGAACAATAGCATGAGTTTCTGGGACTGTTACCTCAGAATTCTCACCTGACAGGGTTATTATTGAGAGAGACTCGAAGGGACTCCAGGCAGCTAAGCAGATGCACATCCCGCAAGCCTGACCTCAGATCCTGAATGTACATCATGGCAGACCTAGAGCTCTCTTTCTGGTTCATGCCCTGGAAAGAGGCACAGAGAAGTCAGCAAATACTGAGCATAGTCCTAAGTTGTGAGCTAATATTCACCAACATGGTTTCAAAAATACCAGGGCAGACACCCATTATACAAACTACCAAACTATGCAAGATGCATAAATAGTTCATGAATTTAAGTACAAGTCAGGGGAAAAAGTATAAAAAGGTGGCAACTCAAGTAAGAGTGAGTCAAGAGTAAGCTTATCTACCAGAATTAAGCAGAATTGATAGAGACATAGAACATTCTGTCAAATTAACAGAATAAGCAGGTCCGTAGTAAGGATGCAGCATCCTGTGAGCATCTGCCCTAGAGCTTACAGCCTTGGAAGTGTGCAAATACTGAGACACCATCTCCCTCTTGATGACAATGTCCTTCTCTCTCAAAGGCTGCTGTTTCTCCTCATTCAGGTTCATATCCACCTAGCAAAGGGAAGGAGCAGGGAGGCAAGAGAGAAAAAAATAAAATTACCTTCTAAGTTTTTTGTTTTTGCGACAGGGTCTCACTCTGTAGCTCTTGCTGTCCTAGAACTCACTACGGAGACCAGGCTTGCCTTGAACTCACAGAGATCTCCCTGCCTATTGTAAGTTTTTAGTGTTTAATATTTATTACACTTAACAATGAGTTGAACACAGTAAATTATTATTGAACAAATTTTTTTTTCTTGATTCCTAGAGGTTTAAGTTATGGTAACCAATAAAAATTCCTCAGGGATAAAATCTAATTCATTTCAGTACAGATCCCCACAGACACCATCCTTGGTATGATACCTGCATGTTGGCACACAAGCTGGGTATACATATACTCTACCACTGAGCTGTGCCTTCAAATCACAGGACACTTTAAAACACACACACTTCTGATGGTTCCCCTAGGAAACAATGGACTCGATACATGTTCTTTTGTATTACTGAGAGGAAACCATACATGTTTTCTGCATTAAAGTACTGGAGAACTGCTGTCATAAAAAACAAAACCTCCCCGAACTCTGAGGCCTAATCACTTACACTGGTTACTGCAGAGTGTCCACTCAAAGTGTCCCTGTTCTCACTAGAGACAGCAAAGTGAGTCACAACCACGTATAGCTCACAACTAAACCGACCTCAACTACAATCCTTAAAGGCCTTCTATTTAGTAAGTTGGCTTTAGCGATCTCTTTCCAAATTCCCCACTCAACAGAGGACCTCAGGCAAATGAGGCCTTTGTATTACTCAGTTTATTCTTGTACAGAGCTCACTGTAAATGCTTCCCCACTTCAGTTTCTCTGACTTAGCCCCAAAGTGGTCACCACACTACCATAGGGCTTGGTCCACTCACACTACATTTTTGTGGCTTGAGTACTGCCAGGCAGATACCCATTAACAAGGCAGCCAGTAATCAGACATCCCCACATTTACCTCATAGACTCTAATCCTGTGACTGGAATTTACATATTTAGTCACTATTTCATGGGATTAATATGAAAACATTTCACATTAAGCCTAGAATTCTTTATAGTAAACATCAACTTAGGAGACCATGCATTTAAAAACAACTACCACATACAGACAAATACCCACAAATGCATGCTGGGAGGGCGACATCACTCGGAAGGTGACTCACCAGCATCTGCTCAAAGAAGACGAGGACTTGCTCATCTGAGAAGTCTTGCAATGGCTGTGCAGTGGGGTCATCTCCATACGATGCAGACGAGTTTCTGTGAGAAGAATTGGGCTTTTCCTTCTCCTTCTTAATCCTCATGCTGGTAAATCTCTCCAGCTAAGAAACAGAAAGAAGTATCAGCAACGATCCACACTCCTCACCGAACAAACCAAACACCAAATAGCCAACACTTTACCCTCTTACCCCAGCTTAGTATTTTTAGTTTATGCAGTCAAGGTTTCTAAGACACAAAAGAAGAAATCATTTTTCCTCAGATCTAACACAGCACACTGACTTTATTCTCACCTATACTAAAGTGTAAGAGACAGAAAATGATACATTAAGGTTTCAAACCTCTCTAGGCTGGTGAAGTGGCATATACCTTTAATCCCAGCACTCAAGAGGCAGAGCAGGTGGTTCTCTATGAGTTCAAGGCCAGCCTGGTCTACAGAGTGAGTTCCAGGACAGCCAGTGCTATGTAGAGAGACTCTGTCTCAAAAAACAAACAATTTAAAAGCTCTCTAAAAAGAAAACTGTTCTAAACTTCCCCTACTGTTCTAAGCCTACTTAGCAGCACAGAGGCAAAAGTATCTCATGTACAAATTTATCTCAGTAAAGAGTCCTTTGTTTCCTTCTAGCTACCCAATAACTAATGAGGATCGTTCCCTTCAAGAGGTATCTGTAACCAGAGTGTAAGATAAACAAGCCATAGGGGATAAAGAAGCAGATGTCTTAAAAAAAAAAAAATCAAGAACTATTCTTTCCTCTTCCTTTTGTTCCATGGCACTTGAGATATGAAAATAGCCAGAGTTCAAAACATGTCTTTTAAATCTCTCTGCATGACATCTACTCAGCAAAGAATATATTCTACTTTAGAGATACATATGCTATTTCCCTGCTAAACAAATACTAATGAACCATCCTCAAATGTTAAATATAAACGCTCACAGCAAAAAGCCACTGAGGAGTACAGCATTGGGGATATAGTGGTGAGCACAGCTGCTTTCTAAAAAAGTCACCGAGTCAGGTATGTTAGCACACACCTGTAATCCCAGCATTCCAGAGGCTAAGGCTGAGAGTTCAGGTAGCCAGGACCAATATCAAGTTCAAGGCTAACACAGGTTTACATAATAAGGGACCCTGTCTGAGGGCAGTGGAAGCAGCAACAAGCTTCAGCTTCTTCCACTCAACCCATTGAAAAGAACAGTTTAACTGTATGCAAAAAAAAAAAAAAAAAAAAGCATGTATGTAAGTGGCATCCAGAATGCAGGATCACAACTGTACCCTTCACTTCTGGATTGTAGTTCATTCCAGATATAATCAAGTCAACAACCATGAATATCCAATCACACAGGGCTTGTACTTTAAAACCTGGAACTGCTCTTCCCTCAAACACACACATGCTTCTGAGTAGATATACTGAATTCTAGTTAAAAACTGCCCAACTGTAGAAGTTAAAAAAAAACCAAAAAACAAAGAAAGCATGCAATGGGTTAAACAAAGTTAGAAAAGATCTGGGGTATTCTCACCCATGCTCCATTACAAACAAGTTAAAATTACAGAAACTGGTAAATGTTAAGAGTGCAGAAAACGAGCCAGCACATGCACATGCCCCATACACATTTCCTTACCTCATCTGCCATGAGCCTCTTCAAAGTCTAGGAAACAGAGAAAAAAGGAGGGAGAAGAAAAAGAGATCAGTGGAATATCAAGGAACCTCCCAAACACCAGAATGGTTGAAGGGAGAAAGGCAAAGAAAGAAACAGAAAGCCCTAAGCTACCTTCCACACGCTAGCAGATAAGGTGTGGCGTAGCACATGCTCTGGAAAGGAACAAGAGAAGTTAGAAGAACAGTAACATAAGACTCACGTGGTGGGAGAGTGAAGAATTGAACAGATTTTAAAACCAATGGCCAACCAACTTACGAAAAGTGCTCAATTTCATCAATAAACAAGGAAACACAAAATAAAATCACACTGAAGCCTGGCCTAGTGGTACAAGCCTGTAATCCTAGCTACTTGGGAGGCTAAGGCAGGGGGTTGAGAATTCAAAATCTGTGTGGGCTAGTGAGTGAATCCAAGGCAGACCATGAAATATAAGACTCTCTGTCAAAATTTTAAAAGGAAGATGAGAATGGGTTAAAAGGCAGTGGTGGAGTCCTTGCCTAGCATGCAAAAGCCCTATGTTTGGGTCCAAGAAATAAAGAAATAAGTAGATAAAATCATAATAATGAAGTTACCAGCTCATACTCTCAAGACTGACAGAAACACAGATTGTATATAGGACGCTGGGTCTGATCCCTAGCTTTTTTTTTTATCTGTCTAGTTGTAGAGGAACAATGGCTCTCTCACACTTTGCTGGGGTCAGCACAAACTACTGGGCCAACATCACCAGGTGAAATAAAATGTATATACATTATAATTCAATATAGCAATTTATAAGTATCTGCCCTGCTGAAATGTGCACTTAATTATAACTAAGTAAAAAGTATTAAGTATAAAGAATAAAAGCATGCACAGACATATTGTAATACCTGAAACAGGAAATCTAAATAGTCAAGAGACGACATCAGTCCAATGGAAAACAGCTATTCAAAGAAAGTGAATAAACTTTCAACTACTCACAAATACACAGAATAGTTCATCCACTGACACTAATGTGAAGAACATGTAAAACCACATTACTTGGGATGTAAGATTATAAAGGGCTCCAGACCTACAATGTGTCCTGCCTACAAGATGAGCTGGGGTAAAGACAGCACTGAAATTACGGGAGTGACCAACTAATGACTGGGACAGATGGAGACCCGTACCCTGAGAGGGAGCTCACCCCTCAGGGCCAGGACCCAGAGGCAGGATACCCCAGAGATATAGGCTAGAACCAAACACAAAAAGAAAAAAAAAATCAGTGAAATTATTCCTAATTGTTCTATATTCATATTGATATTGTTCTATATTCATAGATTGGTGCCTAGCCCAACTGTCATCAGAAAGGCTTCACCCAGCAACTGATGGAAACAGATGCAGAGACCCAGAGCCAAACACTAGGCAGATCTCAGGGAATCCTCCAGAAGAAGGGGAGGTAGAATTATAGGAGCCAGTGGTGTCAAGGGCTCCCAAGAAAACCCACAGAACCAACTAACCTGGGCTCACAGGGGCTCAAGGACTTAGCCGACAACCAGGGAGCCTGCAATGGACTGATGTAGGCCCATATTACAGCTGTCTAACTTGGTCTTTGTGTGAGACTCCCCACAGTGAGAGCAGGGGCTATCTCTGACTGTGCTGCCAGCTTTTGGGACCCATTCCTCTACCGGATTGCCTCATCCAGCCTTAATAGAAGAGGAGGCACCTAGTCTCATGGAAACTTGGTATACCTCAGGCTGGCTGATATCCATGCTTCCCCCTCCCCCGTGAAGGAGTGGAGGAGGAGTGGATGGGATGGGGTGGAGGAGGAACTGGGAAGAGGGGAGGGAAGGGAAACTGATCGGAATGTAAAATCAACCAATCAATCAATCAACAAAAGAGTGCCAGGTGTGGTGGCATACACCTTTAATCCCAGCATTCTCTCTCTGAGTTTGAGGCCAGTCCTACAAAGCAAGTTCCAGGATAGCCAGGGCTACAAAGAGAAACCCTGTCTCGAAAAAAACAAAAACAAACAAACAAAAAATTATAAAGGGCATGATTATCTCAAATATCCAACAGTGATTAACTGTGACAACTATAGGTTATGACCAAGGAAGAGGACAAATAGGTTTTCTGGAGTGTTTATAATTTTCTATTTCTTGACATGTACAGTAATTATATAGGTGTTAAGTTTTAATTACTAGGTGCTTTCTATTTTCTTCTACATGTAATCACACACACACATACATACACACACATACACACACACACACACACACACTGGCTGAGCACTAACCACTTGTCTGAAAACATGGGAACCTTGCTCAGCACCCATGAACTTCACGTGTACTGTTTATTGGGAGTTCAGACAGGAGGCTGAGAAAGCACTACCCAAGAAGACTGCAAAATATTTCCTTATCTTGTATCCCTAAGTCACCTGGCACACAGGTGATTATGCACACCTGTAATTCCAGCATTCCAGAGGTTAAAACAAAAGGATTCAAAGTTCAAGGCAGCCAGGGCTACATATCGGGTTCAAAACCAACCCGAGCTTACATAGAAAGGGTTCCTGTCTGACAGGGCTGGGCAGCAGCAATAAGCTGCAGTTTCATAGGGTCAACACACTAAAATTAACAGTAACTATATGCAAGCACTGTAGGGCTTAAGTGATGTAAGTGGCATCTAGAAACAAGCCACAAAGACATGCAACTTTCCTGCAGCTTAAGTTGCCGTAGCCAAGGTTCATCTTATCTCAACACTGGCCCCAAATTAAGAATGTTCTCTTAAAAACCAAGAAACAGCCAAGGAACTCTGGGATGAATGTGATCTAGATAACAGAACCCGGATCTAGACAATCCACAGCAGTGGGTTAAGTTAAAGAAACTAGCACCTAGTTCTGTGTACAGACTCTCGGTTCATCTCTCTTCCACCCATTTCCACTACCCTGGGTCCCTGCTTGCACCACTGCAATGGCCTCTGAAACTATCGGGTGCCTTCAGTTGTCTGGCCTACACCATATCCATTCTCCAAATCGGATCTGAGAATACTCTCCCTAAAGCTGGGTGGGGTGGAACACACCTGTAGTCCCAGCACTAGAAAGGAGACGAAAAGATAAGGAATTCAAAATCATCCTCAGCTACGTAAGAAGTCCCACCAGTCTGGGCTACAAGAGATTGTCTCCAAAACAAACAAATTCATTGCTTTCAACTAAAAACCCAAAGTCTTTACCATGGTGTATGACTCTGCTACCCTTCCCCTCAAGGCTTCCACTGAACAAACCCTCTTCCCTCAAATGCTTATTTTTTGGACATGCTGACCTAGTTAGTTGCAGGTCCAAACAGCTCGTGCTGCCTTACCACCCCAGCCTTTCCCTAGACTGCTGCCTCCCTCAGCCTACACTGAGGCTAACTAACCCCAGCAGGCCTGGCAGGATGACTGCTCCTCTTGGATAGGTGCCTTTCCTGGTGTTTCCGAAATAATAGCTACCTCTCTGACTCATAGTACTGAGAGTGGGCTACCATTTTCTTTTGATTGCCTGCTCTACTTCCTTCCAGACTAAAAAGTTCCTGGAGTGTAGAACCAGGGACCTAAAAAGCCAGTCCTTGGAAAGCCCTCACCATCCATCCATTCCACCTCTTCATTCTGTCACTGAAGAATCTAACACCCAGACAGGTAGAGTGAATCATCAGTCACATGACTACAAGTCTTCAGATCCCAGAGCCCTCAAATCTGTGTTCCCATATTCTTCTGCCTTATTCCCATTTCATTAACAGTAATTCTGCCATAGATAAGTAAACATACACAAACATTTCAAAGAAAGAAAATGCCCATTTCCCTTGCTTTCCTGGAGTATCATTATAAAAAGAATTAAAAATAATTTTTGGAGGCCTGGGATGTGCTCATTTGGTAGAGTGCTTGCCAAGCATGCAGGAGGGTCCTGGGTTTGCTCTCAACACCACATAAATCTTACACGGTGATGTACATCTATAATAGAGAGATGAAGGCAGGAGAATCAGGGGTTCAATATCATCCTTGGCTACACAGTGAGATCAAGGACAGACTAATATATATGAGAGACCTTGTTTCAAAAAAATATATACTAAAACAAATAAAGAAACAAAATAAAATAAGCCATGTTTCAGTGTTCAACTTGGAATAAGGACCACAGAAATAAGCCATGCAGAAAAGCTGCAGTTCTCAAGAAAGTCCAACAGAGGGCAGCAACACCCAACAAAGCAAGTAACAGCACAGACCAAATTCTATTTCTGAACCCAATAAAATACCCAAACAAACAGCAAGTTAGTTATTGAAATGGAAACCTGTTACTACAGGATCCTGAGAATATGGCTTACTCACTCAGTGCTGCATGTTTTCTCTTACAGATTCTATACACGGTGTTTGAAATGGCTTTGTTTCCAAAGTTTGCTTAATTAGTTTTAATTTTTTTATATATTATGTGTATGTGTAAATGTCTCCATGTACAAATGTGCACATGTGTGCCCAATGTCCAAGAAGAACAGAAGAAGCATTAGATCCTGTGGAACTGCAGTTATAGGTGATTGTGAGCCTCTTTGTGGGGAGTGGGAACTGAATGCCCCGCTCCAAGTGCTTTTAACTGCTGAGCCATCTCTCCAGCACCCACCCAAACTGTTAGTTTTTTATGGAGTCTGTGATGAAGATAAAGACATTCCTAGATCATGAAAAGTTAAAGAACTGAAAACAATGCACTACAGAGACAAATGCTACTGAAGGTATACTTGTGCCTGGTGCCTCAATGTCCCTCCACCTTTCAGGAATCTCTAATCACCTACCCAGCTCTAAGCGCTTCTACTCACCATCTATCTGCAAATACTGAGTGCTGAATCATACTTGCTGTCTCTGCAGAGGAGTCCACTATGTACTACCACTCAAACCTTCAACCACAAAAACAGGGGCTGAAGGAAACATCAATACTGAACTAAACAAAATTACAAGTTATTTTGTGATTAACAACAAATTGATTTTCTAAAGTTTATAAGACATCGATACTTAAAAAA